TGTGTTCCCGATTTCCTTTTTCCCATTTCGAAGGCAATATCTTTTGTTTTCACTAGTTCCAATGAAAACGCTACATCGTTCTTTTTGATTTTGTTTTCAGCAATGTGCTTTGGCGTGTAATCGGCCACTGCGGCAGCATAGATAACGATGTCGTAAGCATCCATATTGGCATTCACCGCATTATACATTTCTGCGGCAGTTTGAATTTCAATCACTTGAACATCAGCATTCTTAAACGGAGCCGAAGTAGGACCTTTCACTATCAATACTTTTGCACCACGTTGAACGGCTTCTTCAGCAAGCGCAAAGCCCATTTTTCCGCTAGAATAATTACTGATAAATCGAACAGGATCAATGGGCTCACGAGTGGGGCCGGTAGTGAGCAATATCTTTTTATTACTTAGTTTTGACATGTAATAAAGTTTCGAATTAGTTGAAAAAGTCTTCCAACAATGCAACAATTTCTTCCGGTTCGGCCATTCTACCCTCTCCGTATAATCCGCTGGCTAATTCGCCTTGTCCAACCGGAATCATTAGATTACCATAAGCATGTAATTGTTCCAAATTACGTTTCGTAGCAGGATGTTTCCACATATCCAAATCCATTGCCGGAGCAAAAAACACAGGGCACTTAGCAGAAAGATATGTTGCCATCAACAAATTGTCACATAAGCCATTTGCCATTTTGGACATGGTATTTGCAGAAGCCGGTGCAATCACCAAGGCATCGGCCCATAACCCTAATTCTACATGATTATTCCAATGACCACTACCTGCAACAAAATCGGTATAGACTTCATTTTTTGACAAGGTAGACATGGTTAATGGTGTTATGAAATGAGCTGCGTCCTTGGTCATGATTACTCTAACCGTTGCTCCTTTGGTGACTAAAAGCCTAACCAAACTTGCCGATTTGTATGCTGCAATGCTTCCGGTTACACCTAAAAGAATTTTTTTCCCTTTCATTGTTACGAAGATATTAGAATCTGCAATATCAAACATAAAAAAAGCCAAATCTCGATAGAGACTTGGCCAATATTTTAACGAAATTCAAAATTAATCGTTGTAGCGAGCTTCTAAACCCGACTCTAAAAACTCATTTGTAGAGATAATGGTTGGATGTGGTAAACGCTCATAGAATCTCGAAATTTCGATTTGCTCACGATTTTCATGAATTTCTTCTAATGAATCGCTGTGCGAAGCAAAATCTTCCAATTTAGAGTGTAATTCTTGTTTCAAATCAGCGTGAATTTGATTAGCACGCTTTGCAATAATAGCCAAAGACTCATAAACGTTACCCGTTCTAGCGCCAATGTCTTTCATGTTTTGCGTTTCAATTGTGTTTAACAATTGGCTTAATTTAATTCTTCTGCTCTTGTCCATTTTCTTTAAGTTTTTTCAGTTTATCAGATGCCTGTAAAAAGTTCTTTTCGGCAGCCTTAGCAAGGCTACTCCCTTTATACTTGTCCACAAAAGTATAATAATTCTTGATACTTTGCTCGTATAAATTAATCTTCTGCTGCGGTTTAGCCTCTTCAGCCAACAACACATCGTTCTTCATCCATTGCAAATAGGTCTTTTCGAGAATTTTTTGTGCCCTACTTTTTTGCTTCGCATTTGCTATTAAAGGGATTTGAGTTTCGATTTCGCGGATAGCTTTGGGATACTCTCGAGGCTTTTCATCCAATCGAACGGTATTCATCAATTCCGAAGCTCCCATTACTGTATTGAAGTGCGAATCCTCCGCAATTTTCTTTCCTTGAGCGATATACTTGCTTTTAGGGAATCGATACACAAATTCATCGTAAGATTTAGCCACATCTCTGTAACGTTCTGCCTTTTTGTAAGCTACAGAGTTCCCAGCATATTTATCGTAAGACTTGATAATCATAAAATACACATAATCAGGATTATCAACATCCGGGTAGTCAACCAATAAATTCTTAAATGAAGTAGCTGCAGCCTTGTAGTTTTCGGTTTTATAATACAACTCGGCATTCTTAACCGCTTTAAATTCGAGCTTCTTTTTCAATTTTTGGAACTCAATATTTGCACTATCAACCCGATTACTTTCCGGATACAAGTTCACAAACGTTTGATAGGTTTCAATGGCTTTGTAGGTATTGGTTTGATCAAGTTGATACTTAGGCGATAATTTTTGATGACTACGCGCAGCCATGTATGAACATTCTTCAGCCTTTGGACTATTGGGATAAAGTTTCCCAAAATTGTTAAAATGGTAAGCAGCAATTAAGTAATCGCCTTGTCGGTAATTCGACATACAATACATATAATAAATATCCTCGGTAGATTTAGTTCCTTTCAACAGGCCCATTAATTCTTCGAATACCGGAATACACTTTACATACTGCTTTTTGTTGTACCAAGCCGTAGCAGTTTTGATTTTATAGTCTAAATCGTTGCTTTTCAACACTTTTTCAGGTGTTTCACACGACTGAATAAGGAAAAGAAATAACGCGATTAAGCCGAATCTACCGATATGTTTGCTGAAAGAAGTCAAATCCTATTTTTTTTCAAATATCATTAAATAAACAGTAAGCGCAAGTGCTGTTAATCTTTTTTGAGAATTTTATCGAACTCTGTTTTGATTTTAGCTTGAAGTCCGGCTGAAATACCCACCAATGGCAAACGCATATGCGCCTCGCAAATACCGGCCAGTTTCAGCACCTCTTTTATACCCCCCGGATTACCTTCAGCAAAAAGCATATCTGTGACTTCAACTAATGCATAATGCAAGGCTCTTGCTTGTTCGAAATCGCCTTTCAACGATAAACTCACCATTTCCGAAAATTGTTTGGGAAATCCTTGTCCGGATACAGAGATCACCCCATCAAAACCCAGTGCAATCAATGGTAGCGTAATATTGTCGTCACCTGAAATTTTCAGAAACTCTTTCCGCGTATGCTTAACAATTTGCATACATTGTCCGAAATTGCCACTAGCCTCTTTAACACCAATGATATTGTCGACTTCAGAGAGTGCAATGGTTGTTTCAGCTGTCATGTTAGAACCTGTTCTTCCTGGCACATTATAAAGTATAACCGGTTTGGGCGAAGCTAATGCTACCGCTTTATAATGCTCAATAATGCCTTGTTGGGTAGGTTTATTATAGTATGGACTTACACTCAAAACGGCATCAATGCCATTAAAATGAAAGCTTTCAATTTCTTGAATTAACGCATGTGTGTTGTTACCGCCAAACCCAGCTACAATAGGCACTCTACCCATAGTATGTTCAACGGTAAAATCTAAAATGGTTACTTTTTCTTCTTTACTCAAGTTCACCGATTCTCCGGTTGTTCCAAGAGAAACTAAATATTGTATTCCGCCATCAATACAATGATCAATGAGCCTGCCTAATCCATTAAAATCAACTTCTCCTTTTGCAGTAAAAGGAGTGACGAGGGCTACACCTGACCCGCGAAACGCTTTATAACTCATAATTTTATTTGATTTAGCAATTGAATCATTTGTTCCAATAATTTTGGAATACTAGTATTTTCCGGCACATTCACCATCAATTCAAAGTCGTTGTTGCCTTCTCGAAAAACGCCAATGCGGCACAAGGCTTTAGAGAAATGTCCGATATATTCTAGTGGTCGGTTAGGAGTTGGAATAGCGCATAGTATAACATCCATATTACGTTCACAGAATTGCAACACCTTATCCGACTTTGGCACACCATACCAATTTACATCATTGGCATTAAAGATCACAACATCATCTTTCTGTTCAATTTTTTTATCGTTTAAAAAAGCAAAAACAGCCACTTCTTTCCCCTTGTTGCGAAGGCTCTCTGCAATTTTAGTAACTGCAATATCGGAACCAGAAATAGTGGAATCGTAAATAATACCGAAGGTTTTAGCCGTTTCGAAATTCATTAACTTTCGGACAGGTTTAAAACTTTCCGAACGATGCGAAATTACAGATTTAAAGAAGCGGTTTTTAATATTTTCAAGTAATTCCACGGTTAAACATTTACGGTTTCATACTGCCCTATAGCACTATATTTTTTAATTCTATTCTCGATACGGGTTTGCGGATCGATTTTCGACAATTCAGCTAAATGCTTGATAATTGTCTTTTTCAGCGTTTTCGCCATTTCTTCAGGTTGAAGATGCGCGCCACCAATAGGTTCCTTTACAATTTCATCGATAATGCCGTATTTCAATAGTTCTTGCGGAGTAGGTTGTAACGCAACAGCCGCTTTCTCTTTGAAATCCCAGCTGCGCCATAGAATAGAGGCGCACGATTCCGGTGAAATCACCGAAAACCAAGTGTTTTCGAGCATCAATAACTTATCGCCTATCCCAATTCCCAAAGCACCACCAGATGCCCCCTCGCCTATTACGATACATAAAACAGGAACTTTCAACGACACCATTTCAATAAGATTACGAGCAATGGCTTCTCCTTGTCCCCGCTGTTCGGCATCTTCCCCAGGATATGCGCCAGGAGTATCGATGAGTGTTACAATGGGCTTATTGAATTTTTCGGCCAACTTCATCAAACGCAAGGCTTTTCTATAACCCTCAGGATATGGCATTCCAAAGTTACGATACTGACGCATTTTTGTATTGTGTCCTTTTTGATGCCCAATAAACATAACGGTTTGACCGTTCAAATCGCCAAACCCGCCAATGATGGCCTTATCGTCACGAAATGTTCTATCCCCATATAATTCCACAAAATCGTTACATAAGTAATTGCTGTAGAATTGTGTGTATGGACGTTCCGGGTGACGAGACACTTGAATCCGTTGCCATGTGGTAAGTTTGCCGTATAACTCTTCCCGTGTATCTTTTATTTGATGTTCTAAACGCTCGATTTTATCGGCCATAGTCATGCCCGTTTTCTGCTCCATTTGCTTCAGCTCATCGATCTGTGCAAAGAGGTCCTCAATCGGCTTTTCGAATTCAAGAAAAATCATGACGTACTAATTGAAACGTAAATTTAGAAAAATAATGCAACCCTTCTGTTTACAAACTACTCGTTCTTCCGCCATCTACAGGCAAGTTAATTCCATTGATGTAGGACGCAGAGGGTGATGCCAAGAAGGCTACAGCAAAGGCCACTTCTTCTGGTTTAGCAAAACGATGTAATGGCACTTCATTCATCATTTCTTTAGCCACCGTTTCTAAATCCTTATTCACTTTTTTGCTTTTGTTGGCAATAATGGCTTTCAAACGATCTGTTTCTGTAGCTCCGGGAAGTACATTGTTAACGGTTATACCAAACTGACCAAGTTCATTTGCCAATGTTTTCGACCAACTGGCTACAGCACCACGAATGGTATTGGATACGCCTAAATTTGGTAAAGGCTGTTTTACGGAAGTGGAGATGATATTGATGATGCGACCATAATTGCTTTGTTTCATCCCTTCCACAAAGGCTTTCACCAACATATGATTGGCAATTAGATGCGTGTTAAATGCAGCCAAAAAATCTTCCTCATTGGCATCGATGGCCAAGCCTTGAGGCGGCCCTCCGGCATTGTTCACCAAAATATGGAAAGGCTTGTTGTGCTTCCGCAAATGGCGATTAATGGCCGTATTGAGCTTATCCGGATCATTGTAATCTACTACAACATAATCGTGTTGCTGAAATGGAGAGCTAATCATATTTAAGTTCACTACAGCGTCTATTAAAGCAGTTTCGGTTCGTGCTGCAATGGTAACATTAGCCCCTAGTTTGGTCAATTCAATAGCTACAGCGTTCCCAATTCCCTGGCTACCACCCGATACGAAAGCATTTTTTCCGGTTAAATCAATGTTCATGAATTATTCTATTTTTATCTATTCAAACTAAAATTTCAATGTTATGCAACAGCCTTTCAATTTCAAAAAATGGATAGACGAGCATCGTCAAATTGTAAAGGAACCTATTGGTGGCGCGCATCTTCAACCTGAAGAAATGGCGAAAACGCTGAAAAAGACAATTATCAAGCATTTAGCTGAATTGTCGAAAATCGATCCGCAAACCCGTATCGAGAATGGTAATGGATCCTCCTCAATAGGCCATTTCAGTAAAATGGAATATATTATTATTTGCAGTGTAGCCTTCCTCGGCTCTGGCTTAACGTTGTTTTCAGGCTTTGGTTTAGGAACATTATTGGTACCGGTTTTCGGATTATTTTTCCCAATTGAAATAGCAATAATACTCACTGCTATTGTGCATTTTTTGAATAATCTTTTTAAACTATCGCTTTTAGGGAAACATGCAGATAAGGCAACCATCATTCGCTTTGGTATCCCGTCTATTTTTGCAGCATTTTTCGGGGCATATGTACTCACACAACTCAATACGTTATCACCAATATTCATATACGATTTTATTGGGAAAACATTTTCTGTTCTGCCGTTGAAACTCATCATTGGTGCATTGCTCATTTTCTTTGCGCTATTCGACATCATCCCTCGATTGGCGAACTTACAATTCGACAAAAAGTATTTACCGTTGGGAGGCCTATTGAGTGGATTTTTTGGTGGCTTATCAGGAAATCAAGGGGCATTGCGATCTGCTTTTCTTATTCGTGCTAACTTAACCAAAGAAGCATATATTGCTACAGGAGTGGTGATTGCTTGCTTAATAGACACCACAAGGCTTTTCGTTTATTCTAAACAACATTTCAGTATTGCGAATCAAAGTAACGTGCTTCTGCTTGTTGCAGCTACACTGTCGGCTTTTTGGGGCGCTTACTTAGGCAACAAAATACTTAAAAAAGCAACCATCAAAACCGTGCAAACCATTGTAGCTATTATGTTGATTGGTTTTGGAGTTTTGCTGGGCATAGGAATAATTTAATGATATGACAGAACTAGAACAGTATATTCAATCGTACTTTGGTGTAAATAGAGACAGTTTAGCACACATCTCTTCGCTTTTTCATGAGGAAGAATTACAAAAGGGAGACTACTTTTTGCATACGGGGAAGTACTGCAATAAACTCAGCTTCATAAAATAAGGTATGCTGCGTATCTATGTTACAACGCCTGAAAAAGAAGTTACGCAATGGATTTCAACCAAGGGTTATTTTGTGACTGATTTGTCGAGTCTCGTTTTTGAACAACCCGCCCGCTGGACCATTCAGGCATTAGCGACCACACAACTATATACCATTCATAAATCAGATTATCAAAAAATTGGGCAACGCATTCCACAATGGCATGAACTGGAAAAACTGTTTATAGCCAAATGTTTTACCATGCTGGAAGATCGAATTTTTAGTCATTTATCTATGAGTGCCAAAGAACGATATCAGTTTTTCTTTGCGCTGCAACCGGAATTGTTCAACCAAGTTCCTTTGCAATATTTGGCTTCCATGTTAGGGATGACACCAGAAACATTCAGCCGAATCAGAAACAAGAACAGACTTTAATTTCTTGATTTATATCAAGCACAGCTAACGTTTCGCTCCGCATCTTTGCATTGTTCGATGATGAACAAAAAAAGAAATGTTATGGCAAAAGAAATTACAACCGAAATTCTGATTCATGCCACTCCTGAAAAAGTGTGGAGTGTATTAACAGACTTCGATCAATACCCACAGTGGAACCCTTTTATCAAATCAATAACAGGAAATGTTGCCGTAGGGAATACAATCAAAGCGCGTATAGAGCCTCCCGGTGCAAGTGGCATGACCTTCAAACCAACAGTATTAGTGTATACTGAAGCAAAAGAATTCCGATGGTTAGGACATTTATTTATTAAGGGATTGTTCGATGGAGACCATTGCTTTAGGCTTATCGACAATGAAGACGGGACAACCACATTCATTCAAAGCGAACAATTCAAAGGGATACTTGTGCCTTTGTTCAGCAAAATGCTCGACAAAAATACGCTAGAAGGGTTCAGTCAAATGAACGAAAAACTAAAGCTGGAGGCAGAAAAAACAAAAATCAAAACACCTCTCTGGCAATTGCAATAGTAGAAGCACTTTTACTCATAGTGTAATAATGCAAACAAGGCGTTCCGGCTTTTTTCAATTCTAAAGATTGTTGTATAGCCCATTTAATCCCTACCTCTTTTACATCTTTATCCGTTTTACACTTCTCTACCTCATCCACTAAATCGTCCGGTAAATCAATATAAAACATCTTTGGCAGTAGCTCTAATTGACGTTTACTATCTAAAGGTTTAATCCCCGGAATAATAGGCACATTGATGCCAGCGTTTCGGCATTTATCTACAAAATCAAAGAATTTTTTGTTGTCGAAAAACATTTGCGTAACAATGTAATCGGCTCCTAAATCCACTTTGTTTTTCAACCACTTCAAATCCGTTTTTAAATTTGGGGCAGTAAAATGTTTCTCCGGATAACCTGCAACACCGATACAGAAATTGGTCTTTAACTCGTTCTCCGTTTCCTCATGTAAAAAATGACCCTTATTCATTTTAGAAACCTGATTCACCAAATCTGATGCGTATTTATAACTCGATTTAGGGGTATCAGATGTTTTGGGATTCTTATCAGCATCACCCTGTAAAAGCAATAAATTATTGATACCCAAATAGTGTAACGTAAACAAGGCATCTTCTGTTTCCTCCGGGGTAAAACCGCCACATACTAAGTGAGGTACTGTATCTACATTAAAACGGCCTTTCAATGCTGCACAAATACCAACCGTGCCCGGACGTTTACGCAATGGCACCTCTTCCATCAAACCATCTCCGCGCTTTTTGTACATAATTTCTTCGCGGTGATAAGTAACATCAATAAATGGAGGTTTGAATTCCATCAAAGGTTCAATGGCGCTGAACAAATCATCAATAGTTTTTCCTTTTTGAGGAGGCAATATTTCAATGGAAAACAAAGTTTTACCTTTGGCGTTTGCGAGATGCTCTGTAACCTTCATATTTGTTCTACTTTATTCGTAAATATTATTTGGAAATAAATTCTATTTCCTTGTTGTCGATAGTATAAATAATCAATTTCTTCCCTTCAACAACAAAATGATCGGCCTTGTTTAACAAGGGTATAAATTCGCGCTCCACATCAGATTCAATACCAGTACACATCTTACGTGTAGAGCCTATATTGTCTAATTTAATCTTATCCTTTCTTATGGTGTATTTTCCACCACGTAAGGTATTACATCCGCCAAAACCTACTACTTGGCCATCTGTAAAATGAATATTTGGAATGATAGTGCCAATTGTATTAATCTGGTCTGTAGTAAAACTGGGTAATTTGGATAATGTCCAATTTCTAAAAATATTGCCTTTGACTTTGCCTCCGTTGCATTTACCTGTAGCCGGTTGCTGAAAAACAAACAACAGCGTTAAGAACAATGCCGTTAATATTTTACAATTCATACTAAAAGTTTATTTATTCGCAATAATAGTTATTTTTGCGTGGTTCTTTAAATTATTGATTATCCAGAAAGACGGAGGGACAGGCCCAATGAAGTCTTGACAACCTTTTCAGCAATGAAAGTGGTGCCAATTCCTGAGAGATAACTATACCTCCCTCTCTTTCCCGGATATTCATCAAAATAATATATAACATGAATATCAAAGCAACACTGAACGATTTAGCGTCAAAACAAATACTTATTTTAGATGGTGCAATGGGCACTATGATTCAGCGCTACGGCTTGAAAGAAGCAGATTTTAGAGGCGATTTTTATCCCAACCATCCTTCCGATTTAAAAGGGAATAACGATTTATTGTCGATTACCCGTCCGGATATTATTCATGCAATACATACCGAATATTTAGAAGCCGGTGCCGATATTATTGAAACCAATACATTCAGTGGTACATGGATTGCTCAAGCCGATTACCATTTAGAAAAAGAAGTCTATACAATTAACTACGAAGGCGCGAAAGTGGCTAAACAAGCTTGTTTAGACTTTATGCAAAAACACCCGGAGCGCAAATGCTTTGTTGCCGGGGCATTCGGGCCAACGAACCGAACAGCTTCCCTTTCGCCTGATGTAAACAACCCAGGCTATAGAGCCATAACATTTGATCAATTAGTAGATGCTTATTCAGAACAAGCCACAGGGCTTATTGATGGTGGTGCTGATATTCTATTGATTGAAACCGTTTTTGATACATTGAACTGTAAGGCAGCATTGTTTGCTGTTGAAAAAATTCAACGCGAAAAAGGAACGGAATTGCCTGTTATGGTGAGCGGCACGATTACGGATGCAAGTGGTAGAACCTTGAGTGGACAAACACCAGAAGCCTTCTACATTTCGGTGGCTCACGCGAATTTGTTTTCAGTAGGATTGAACTGTGCATTAGGTGCTAAAGATATGCGTCCACACATTGAATCTATTTCTAAAACAGCGCAATGTTGGGTAAGTGCTTACCCGAATGCAGGACTACCAAACGCTTTCGGAGGATACGATGAAACACCGGAAATGATGGCTGAGGCGTTGGAAGAATTTATTAAAAGTGGGTTTGTAAATATTATTGGCGGTTGTTGCGGAACAACACCGGAACATATTCGAGCTTTTAAAAAGGTTGCTGAAAAACATGCTCCTCGCAAGAAAGCAAAGCCCATCCAATTCATGCGATTGAGCGGTTTGGAGCCGGTGGTCATTACTCCCGAATCGAACTTTATGAATGTGGGAGAACGAACCAATGTAACAGGTTCAGCCAAATTCTTAAAGCTCATCAAAGAAGAAAAATTCGATGAAGCCTTGAGTGTTGCACGCGAACAAGTAGAAGGCGGAGCACAAGTGATCGACATCAATATGGACGAAGGGATGATTGACGGAAAAGAGTCGATGGTCACCTTCTTGAATTTGATTGCAGCCGAGCCGGATATCTCTAGAGTGCCTATTATGATTGACTCTTCGAAGTGGGATATTATTGAAGCCGGATTGAAATGTATTCAAGGAAAAGGAATTGTAAACTCCATTTCTTTGAAAGCCGGTGAGGCAGCATTTATTCGCGAAGCCAATTTGGTAAAGCAATACGGAGCATCGGTTATTGTGATGGCCTTCGATGAACAAGGACAAGCCGATTCGTATGAAAGACGAATTGAAATCTGCGAAAGAGCGTATAACATCCTTACAAAACAAATAGGCTTTCCGGCTGAAGACATCATCTTCGACCCGAACATTTTCCCTGTAGGAACAGGGATGGAAGAGCATCGCAAAAACGCATTGGACTTCTTCAACGCTACTCGATGGATTAAAGAGAATTTGCCCTATGCAAAAGTAAGTGGAGGAGTGTCGAATGTGTCGTTTTCGTTCCGTGGCAATAACACGGTGCGTGAAGCGATTCACTCAGCCTTCTTGTACCACGCCATTAAACATGGCATGGACATGGGTATTGTGAATCCATCGATGTTGGAAGTATATGACGATATTCCAAAAGATTTATTGCAACATGTTGAAGATGTGTTACTCGATAGACGTGAAGATGCTACAGAACGTTTACTCGCTTTTGCAGAAACCATTAAGCAAAAAGGCAAAGTGGTGGTAGTAGATGAAGCATGGCGCAAAACATCAGTGGAAGACCGTTTGGCCCATGCATTAATGAAAGGAATTACAACATTCATCGATGAAGACACTGAAGAAGCCCGGATAAAATACGGCCGTCCTTTATATGTGATTGAAGGTCCTTTGATGGCTGGAATGAATATAGTAGGAGATTTATTCGGTAGTGGAAAAATGTTTTTACCGCAAGTGGTGAAAAGCGCTCGTGTGATGAAAAAAGCGGTAGCATATCTTCAACCATTTTTAGAAGAAGAAAAGAGAAATGCTGTAGTACAAGATACACGAGGTGTTGGAAAAATTTTGTTAGCCACAGTAAAAGGCGATGTGCACGACATTGGTAAAAACATTGTGGGTGTTGTATTAGCATGTAACAACTACGAGATTGTGGATTTGGGTGTGATGGTTTCAGCTGATAAAATTTTAGAAGAAGCGCAAAAACAAAAAGTAGATATTATTGGATTAAGCGGATTGATAACGCCATCATTGGATGAAATGGTCCATGTTGCATCTGAAATGGAACGGTTAGGATTGAAAATTCCGTTGTTGATTGGCGGTGCTACTACATCAAAAATACACACAGCCGTTAAAATTGCACAAGCCTACAGCGCTCCAATCGTGCATGTTTTAGATGCATCTAAAAGTGTAACGGTAGCGAGTAGTTTATTGAGTGACGAAAACAAAGCCTCTTTTGTAGAAGATTTGAAAACAGAATATGCGCAATTGCGTGAAGAATTTTCGAATAGAAAATCGAATGTAGATTATATCAGTATTGAAGAAGCACGTAAGAATAAATTGAAAATTGATTGGGCTACGGAAAACATTCCTACACCAAAATTCATTGGCACAAAGGAGTTGAACAATTATCCTTTAGCTGAGATTGCTGAATATATTGATTGGTCGCCTTTCTTCTCTACATGGGAAATGAGCGGTACTTTCCCTCGTATTTTCGAAAACGAACGTTATGGTGCTGAAGCCAAGAAATTATATGACGATGCGCAAAAAATGTTGAAAGCCATTATTGCTGAAAATCGTTTAACTGCTAATGCTACCTTCGGAATTTTTGAAGCGAAATCGGTGAACGAGCAAGTACAAATGGCAAATGGCAAAGCATTTAATTTCCTTCGTCAGCAAACCAAAAAGCAAGGATCACAAACCAATACCTGTTTAGCCGATTTTATTTCTCCAAACAAAGATTATGTGGGTGCATTTGCAGTAACCACAGGCATCGGCATCGAGAAATGGATTGCAAAATTTGAAGCCGATCACGATGATTATTCTGCTATTTTAATTAAAGCCTTAGCCGATCGTTTAGCAGAAGCATTCACCGAGTTGTTACACAAAAAAGTGAGAACAGAGTATTGGGGATATGCCGAAAACGAGAACCTAAGCATTGAAGATATGATCCAAGAGAAATATGTTGGTATTCGTCCGGCTCCAGGTTACGCAGCATGTCCAGACCATTTTGAGAAGAAAACGATTTGGGAATTATTGGATGTAGAAAACAAAACCGGAATTAAGTTAACTGAAAGTCACGCTATGTATCCAACAGCAGCGGTGAGCGGGTTTTACTTTGCCAGTCCGCATGTGAAATACTTCGGAGTAGGAAAAGTACAGAAAGACCAAATCGAGCAATTGGCCTCGGCACGGAGCTTAAATATTCAGGAAGTAGAGAAATGGTTGCGGCCAAATCTTGCTTACTAAAACAAAAAAGGTCGGATAATGTATTCGACCTTTTTTCAATTGCATTGAAGCTTACCGATACGCATGATCGCTACCGGTTTTCTCGTAATCTTTTTCAATTTTCTTTTTGATAATTCCCACTAGAAACTTCTTAAACGGAGGAACGTCTTTCATCTTCGGATTTTTTCCGTGTTTACGATAACGATCGAAGAAGTATTTAGTGGATAATACAGCAAAAGCCGCACAGGTATTATGGTCTAGTTTCGGACTTAAATTATTCAACTTAATATCCTTCTTCCCTAATGCCGTCATATTATTGTACACAACCTCTGAGTTTTTGTAATTCACTTCACGGTCGCCATTGCAGAAACACAGCTGCACCGGGGCTTCTGGTTTCCAATCGGTCAAATTGTTTTCGCGTAAGCGAAGAAGAAATTTGAAATTCGGGTCATTTACAAATTGCTCTACTAACTCATCTTTTACAATATCTTTTGGAATTGGAGGCATAATCCTATCCAAGTCGCCATAAGATTTGGCGCGAACTTCACCAAAGAATCCAGGTAATAGCGTATCAAATGGCGATTTAAAAATGGAGTAAATATTATTTGTGTTAATCACTTTGTATGCCTCTTGATATGAAATCAACAAGTAAGGCAAATAGAAAGGACGAGGATATTTTTGAAACATATATTTCGCTTGCTCTCCGGTCATATCATATG